AAAAATATTTTTTGATTATATCTTTTATGTTAAGTCCAAAAGTGTCTATTGGTTTCGAAATGGGATTTGACATCGAATCAATGTAAATGCGTCGTTCCACTTTTGATTCGAGTTTGTTGCCATTCGGCAAAGTGTTAGATATTTATTAGCCCGAAAGGTAATGTTTTCTGTGTTAAAAAAATGTTTTCTCTGTAATGCCATTATCCTTATTTTTCGAATGAAAACCAAAGTGAATGGCACTCACTTTAAACTCCTACGTTGTATTTAGCTAATACAGACGATTCATAGTCTTACGATATATACAGCTGAATTTATAGGACGATTTTAAATTTGTGTTACACATAAATATATAATTTCGACTGAATTTTTCAGCAAAATATTACCTCTCGGCTTTTACATGAATCGGCTTATATTTGGTAAAATATGGTAATTATTTTTGATTAAAAATTCTGATCGTGTTCCATTACCCTGACAGCAAATGTGTGATTAGCTTCAATAACATCATTGTAAATGGGTTCAGACGCTAGAGAAATCTTAGTAAACATGGAACATTCGACCAGCTAAATTCAGATTTGTTAACGCCGTGAGAGATAATGAATGCTATTTCCTCCCTCGGATCTATCTGGAACTGATGCTGCACGTTCTCCACACGCTGATTATTGAACGTCATGCTAACAGACAGCTATCTTCAAAGACCACTAATATGTTTCCCAGGGAACGATAATGTACCTGCCGATTCCCAGCCAAGGCGTAACAAATGAGTTTGTAGCTCTTACCATTTGACATAGATGTGGCAAGTAATCCGTGAAATACAAGTTAGTGAAAGCAGAGTAAATTTGTGACGGCATAGAGTAATGGAAAATGAAGACAATTAATAAATCTTTAGAGATTTGTTTAGTAAATGGGGGAATATTGCGCTTAGAATTCCTGCATTAATAAAATATCAATCTAAATGTTCGATTTCTTGTATGGAAAGCGTAGACTGCTGGAAAGGATATATAATGACTGTTAATGAACTTGTGAGGACATTTCAAATGTTTTGCAGTTAAAATTTAAAAGACAATAAATTATATAAAAGAAGAAAATGTTTGTATTCTAGTGTAATAAAAGAATAACTTTTATTTTTCACCATACGTTGTAATATGTTTTAAATTTTTTATTCTATGATATGCATAATGGTATATTGGATTTACTTTTTTTTTTTTCCGTTAAAAAAGCTAAAATTGTGATTAGCTTCAATAACATCATTATCACGGTGATTAGCTTCAATCACTTGAGCGGATACTTGTGTTTCGTTTTCAACCATAATTTATGTGATTTTTGTTTTACTTTCTCTATTTGTCAGTTTCCATCGGCATGCCACAGGCATCCTGGAATCTATACCCTTCTAGTCCGAAATCGATGAAGAAAAATAAGTTGTTAAAATTATGAAACATCATTCCCAGCATGATTTCCCTTTCCCAGCAGATAATAGTGTTTACATTTCAAAACGTGGTGCAAGATAATACTTCAGTTAAATATTAACACTATTTTGATATATTTTTGGTTATCGTGAGTGTTCGCAATATGCAAGTATCATTAATTTTATATGTTATAGCCTTTCTTGTATGTTATGATGACCTTGCTTTTTTTAAATGGAAAAACTTGGAATGCTTAACGTTTTGTCAAATATCCTAGAACAGCTCAATTCCCTTGCCAGTTATGTGCCTGTTTAGGGAGAAAAAATGAGATAGATGATTGGTATCTGCAAAAGTCTGTCGAGTTTCAGTAGAACTTCTACAAGGTATTGTAGAGACATTAGCTATTTTTTGGAAGCGGGAGAGGTGAAAAATAAGCAACGCACTTCGCCGGGAATCGAACCACGGACTTTTGGAATACCGGCCCAGCATGCAAAACCACTACACCACGAAGGCACGCTAGGAAGGCGGGAGACATACTTTATCGTATGACAACAAATTGCCGTATTATGTTTTTAAACATAAGATTTATCGCTAAATACAAAGACCTCTTATATTTCTTTGGAGTAATGACAGTCGTTAATAAAGTACATTTGACAACGACCGTTTGACGGTACCGTTCTCGAAAATTGCGTGCAAATTCCTCTTTCGGTATCAGAGGACTACTGTTCCTTCTAATTGACATGGGAAACATCATAGAAATCCTGAGCGGGAACAAGGAGCTTACTCAAGCTATATTCGTGTGTGCGTGGAATAGGCAAACAAATTTAAAAAGGTTAACTTTACCCTTTATTTCACGCAGTGTAATGGTTGCTCCCGCACTTCGGGATGCAAAGACCAACACCTTGGTCTAAACGTAAAAAAAGTACAAAAAAGGAAATATTCACTTAATAACTGAAATAAATAAGAATTAAACTTCAATGTTTTACACAGACTATTAACGCAAAGATGGGCCTTTTGAACCTGCTAGTTGCATATACTACAATACGCCTATTATATCAGGAACTGTGTTCTGGCCTAAAGGCAGACACGAACTGACTGAAAAGCACGCGCGTAGCAGGGCAGCAGGAAGGCTCTCTCCCTCTTGCTAGAAGCCACTTCTTAAATACCTTTTACAGTTGCAAACTCATTAGCATTACTCGCGCTTATTCTACCGGAAATGAAAAATAAGAGAGGATGGCAAATTTTAAATAAAATAAACGTTAGTAAATCTTAAAATCTTTATATCCCTCGTCACATTTTTGAACATTTTAATGTTTAGACATGCAAGAATCGCTCACGTTTTAGGGCTGATTTCAGTTACGGGAACAGAAAGGAGTTTGTTGAGACAAAATCAGATCGAGGGCAGCAATTCGCATACAAGCACCACATTGCTTTGCTAAGAGATACGCATGTGGCCGAGAGTTAGCGTAGAGAAGAAATCAAGAGCTAACTTCGTGATGTTCCTGATTACACGATAGTTGTCTGCAGTTACTTTACCAGAACTCATTATTATGTGTTACCATTCATTATTGCTTTTTGTGGCTAAAATTATCTTCACTGTTTCAATGTTTAATCACCATGAGGAGTCGTGAGCTACTACTTGGGGCAACGTCTTTAGTCAAATTCTTTTCATCCGAAAAATATTTAAATGCTTTAATGCCGCAAACTTCTATCTGCCACTCTTGACTTTATTCCGCGGATTTACCAAACCTGAAACAGAACTTAAAATTCATTCGATGCTCCCCTTTACAGCCACTGTCAAGGCCTTTGCATGCTAGAGTGTTATTAACATAAATCCGTAAAGATTATTGCTATGCATGAGTTGGCCAATGAGCTAAAGAACGCAATACTTTCTTTGCGTCCTCTTCTCGCTAAGCTTTGGAAATTTCAGAGAAAAATTCATGTAAGCTGTATCTGTGAAAAAGTGAAATAGTCATGAAATTTTCAAAAGTCATACATACATAATATTCTCTGTATTAGTTTATCAGTGTAATGTAATGTCGTTTGAGATGTGCATTTTTTATCACTGAGGTATTTCATTTCGCATAGCAGAAGTTCTAAAATTATTCTTACCCCAAAACACATGCAAATCTTTTATTAACAAAAGAAGTGGTCTGTGGGGCAAATGCTGAAGACAAAATTACCATGCTTGCTTTTGAGAAAGCAAAATCTGCCATTGTTGTTGACAGCTGTACATTTTGTTTTCCTGTTAAAAAATACAACTTATAAAAACATATAAAAGTATTTCCGCACTGTTTGCCTTTTAGTGGTAGAGAATTTATTTTCGGAAATGTTGAACTGCATGGCACTTTAAGTTAATCCGTTATTTAATAATAATTGTAGAAATAATAATTAATAGTAATAATAATAATCGTGTATTTCTCCCTTTTTTAACTAATTTTCTAGTTTGAAAATCGAGAGTGGAAAGTTAAGCGAGTAACCTTATTTCTTAAGAACGTCTTTATACTAATAATAAAAAATGAAAAAATTGTCATGATAAGCTATTGGTAACTATCGCAAAATAATTTCTGTAAAAGAAATATATTCCATTAAGAGTGCATAGAAACATAACTATATTAAACAGATATTGAGCCGATATGTGACCGGTCCGACTCAGTTACCTCGTAAAGTCTCAGAGGTTCCTCACATACATGACTCTTGACCGCAGTTTCTAAGATGGACATTAGAGGAAAAAAGGGAAGGGGGAGAATAAAAGACCTGGATTTCCCAAAGATTGATCATATCAGCTGCAGATAAAGCCACAATAAGCTGGGATGTAAGTAACAGAAGTAAGGTGAAGTCACATGTTTGGAAAATTTTCTAAGTGCGAGAACACCTACCTTTATCGGATAGCTGAAATAAGACTCTGCAAAAAATGCTTTTCAAATAACAAATGCATGGGAAAACAAAATAGGTGAAATGCTAAAAGCTAGGAGGGAAAATGCGATAATAATTCTCACTATGTCTCTGTCTTCTTTTTGCTGCATTGTGTTATATTTTAGTCCAAATGGGCTCTGTCCGTGCAAATTCTAAAGATATGCTCATTTTAAAAATATTTTGCGACATTGCTGTTGGACTGAATTTTATGGTTTAAGTGCAAAGAACATGATATTTAAGAAAGAAAGGTAACACACAAAACGGTAAAAAAACGCCCCTTTAGACGTAATTTAAATTCTGAAACTTTTCAGATTTTTTATTTTAACTTTTATAGTTTCTGTGTTATTTTTCTTACTCTGCAAATTTATCTGATTGTTTAAAAGCTCTCTACGAAATTTCGAATTTTCTAGGTTGGCATTTATGTTCATGTTTTGAATACACATATCACAATTTGTTTTTTTATTTGAAAACCATAATGATGAATCCTCTTACCATCTAACTGAATATATTTGGTTTCATATTCTGCTAAATGCTTTAACTTTTGAGTTAAAACAATTTTACGTGCTATAGCCAAAAGCCATTTGATATATGGCCTCCTGAAAGTATTATTTTTGCATATGTTGTATTATATTCCTTATTTATACGCAGAATGTCTTGACAAAGTGTCTTATTATTTTATTTCAGAGTGTGACCGAATGTTCGTGAGTAATTCCGATGGTCTGAAGAACGGAACTTTTAGCGCCCCCTACATGGAAAACATTCAGAATTACTCTCGCCAGTGCATTTACACCTTCATCGCCACCGAGGACGAAAGAGTTCAGATCACATTTACCCACTTTAATCTCCGAGGAGCTAAGCCCCAGTAAATGAAAATTTTAATGCCTCTGAAATTGAATTTTATTTTACTTTTTTTAGTAAAGCCACATATTTCAGCGTAATATTTCTGTGTATACATTCTGATGTGATTAAGCAATTAAAGCTGAATATAAAGAAATTTAAGGAGAAATGTGAAACTAACTAATATCCGAAAATGCTAACAGTATTTAATCTGTTTTTTACTTTCATTTTTATTTACAGTAACTTATAATAATTCATTAAAAATTATTTTTAAATAAATAATTTTAAAAAATCAATCAAAATAAAATACATAATTTTGAAACTATAAAATCTTGGATAATATTCATGTTTCCTTTTTATTAATTTGTGATATTTGTTCTATAGTTATTTTAATTAAAATATGTGATGAAAATGTTCACCAAATTAATTAAATGTTTCCTTCCATGTCTAGAATGTTTTTAAATGCTAACACTTAATTCATGTAAAATTGTTTTTAATCACCTCTCTCTTTTGTAAAATTTTCATTTCGCAAATGATACTCATCGTACAATCATTAAATACGTCCACGTTAAAAATTCTTTATACAACATGTGGCTTAATTTTATATCCTTTTATTAATCGGTTTGCGATATATTTATGGATTTTTCAGGCTTGTATTCTAAAACAATTGATAGATATATCTCAAGTTTACATTTCATGATTGGAAATGACTATCTTGAACAAATAAACAATTAAGTAAAATAAAAGGAATGCTTTTAATAAAAATAAAATCTACGCAAAAAAACTGAATGCTCATAAATGGTATGTTTAATAAGATTGCATTGCTTTGCTATTAACACAAATAATTCCATTAATTTATATTGCACAAAAATGCTCATTTAAGAAGATATTGTTGTTTTCTACCCGCTTCACTACTTTTACTACTTGAAGAAGAATCAAAACTTAATTTATTCACCAGTATTACACAAGACAGTTCCAAAGACACGTTTACAGTCATCGAAAAACTTCGATAAACAGGCTGAAAGAATCAGCAACACAGCCTTCAGGGTACAACGATGGAGACAGTTTCACGGCAAAGCACTAAACTACAGCTCCCGACTTGGTTAAGCTAATCTCGGAACTTAAGACTCTCAAGCTAATCTCTGAACTCAAGACACAACTACTCACTCAATTCGAGATACTATTATGCGAACAGCTATGGCATATATAGCTTTAACCTACCTTTGAGAATATTCTCGGGAAAACCGCTAATAATAATGTGCTCTAGAATGTTCTCGCTCCATCTATGCCATATCGCGGACTTTGTGGCCAAATGGGCAATTTTGCGGCAAATCTGGAAACCCTAACTTAAATTTGCGGGGAAGCTATCATACCACAACTGGACATTTCGCCTCAATATTATACAGCACATAATGGTACTGTGTTTAAAATAGTTTTTGTTTTCATTTGTTAAATTCTTTACAATCGCGACATACGAATTGTCGCTGTAATCATAACAGTTTTTTGCTTTATACAAAATGTATTCATAATCTTAAATGAACACTACAACTACTGGTAGAAATCAGTAATACAAATAAACCATAAAATGTAAGGAAAGTATTTTATGAAATTATCATTTCTGAAATACACTGGTGTGCAAAAATTAAGGACGAGACGGTTTTTTCAATATAACTTTGTACAAAAGCTTTCCAAATCAACACATTTAATACCGTAAGATCCCCAATACGTAAGGACATGAGTAATGTAAGCAACACTTACTAAAAGAGAAATCAGAGGGATAAAAAGAAGCTTTATTGAAAAAGTAGCATGGAGCGCAATGCGACTGAAGGCCGAAACATCCCTGTGATGGGTGTCCAGCAAGAAACATCCGGTCTTTAATAGGGGATATGATCTCCCCTGACTGCTAGGCAGGTTTCACAGCGTCTGCCCATGCTGAGAATGAGGGTGTCAATGAGTTGTTGAGGCATTGCTGCCCATTCGTCTTGCAGCGCCAATCGAAGCTCCGGAATCGTTACTGGTGGTAAGGTACGAGCTGCCAAGCGTCTGCCTAGAAAATCCCATACATGCTCGATGGGATTGAGATCCGGAGATCGTGCCGGCCAATCCATACGTTCAATATCCTCACTCTCTAAGAGCTGTTCGGCAGCTACTGTGCGATGACATGGTGCATTGTCGTCCATGAAAAGGAACTGCGGACCCATAGCGCCTCTAAAAAGACGCACATATGGAAGAAGAATCTCGTTACAATAACGGGTCCCGTTGACTGAACCTGCGTCGAAGATGTGAAGGTCTGTACGACTACCAAGCATGATGCCTCCCCAAACGAGAACACCGCCACCTCCATACCTGTCCCTTTCAATGATGTTCGAGGGATGATTGCGGCTTCCCCGCTCTCTCCAGATGAGTATGCGATGAGAATCGCTACTCAGACTGAATCTGCTCTCATCTGTAAAGAGTACTCGTCCCCATTCATTGTCTCTCCAATTCCGGTGTTCCCGGCACCACAGAGAACGCCTTCTCCGATGGGCAGGCGTTAGAGGTACACACCGTACAGGGCGTCGTGCAAACAGACCACCACCGTGCAGTCTTCTGGCCACGGTAAAACGCGATATCGGTCGTCCAGTCGCCTGTGTCGTGTGTCTAGCGATTTCTCCCGCTGTCTGCCGCCTGTTTCTTCTGGCCTGTAAGGCAATATACCGGTCATCTGCGGGTGTGGTTCCTCGTGGACGACCACTACTAAACCCCCGGATAGCTGTTCCTGTAGTTTGAAATTGTCTCCAAAGTCGTGAAACGATGCTGTGAGCAATTCCGAACTCTGCAGCCACACTTGTCACACTGCGGCCTTCCTTCCTCCAACTTCCCAATGATTCGACCTCGGGTAAAAGCATCCAGATGTCGTCTAACAGATTGATTATTCGCCATTTCTCGCTGAGGCAGCAACTCGGTGTGATTTTAACTGCTATACGGCGTGCAATCTCTTTGCCAGAAATACTGATCTTACACCGACAACATGCTTTATACTACTCAGACACACTCCCCCATTACGTCTACCTGCATATCTGCGCATGTGCTACCGTACATCACCTTACTTAATCTCCTGATTGGTCTTTCTGTCCGCTCTGCCTCTTCGTTCAGCTGATATGCTAATTTTTCGACTTCGTCCTTAATTTTTGCACACCAGTGTATATTTAATGATGTGTTAGTATGAAGAAATATCTAAAACAGTTAAATAATAAGAATATCTTTGCAAAAAAGTGTTAAAAGTTTTTAAAATTATATTAAAATTTAAGCTTTTTCTGGCTAGAAAATATTACCGCGGTGTCTGAGTATCCATACATTCATCCGACTCAGATATCTGAAAGTACACTAAACTTTTCTAGTAAGAAATAAAAAATAATTAGTCTGTTTTTATCAGAGGCTGTTTGCTCATTTTTATTCTATCCTTTTACTTCAGTCCTTGAATCTTCTCATTAAAATCACAAAAGCACTTGAAAACACAGAGCTGTAGAGCGGGTTGATGCTCGTTGAATAGTAACAAAAGGCGTACTGACTTGTTTCAATATTGTCCCGAAATAAAATCAGTGCGCGCTGTTGTGACTCGTCGAATTCGAGCCGTATTCCAAGCACGTATCGCACAAATAAATATTTTCGCTTCAAAAACAGGATGTATACCACATATTTCAAGTATGTGAATGTATTTCAAAGTGGGCGTATACCGAGGTATCTTCCTAGTTATAAAATCCTTCCAACAAGCATTAAATATTTGCCGGAAAAAAGATTGAAATTAAATTACATAATAAGAAAAGAAGAATTAAAGCAAAATTAAATAAAATTCGCTTTTAACAAAATCAATTATTTTGAAAATATATTTATAGACATAAATCAATGGATTTCGAGGTTATGACTACGATGTTTATGATGCCTTTCATTCAATATATTTATTTGTCTCTACAATTTGAATTAAAAAAAAAATAAGCTATCCCGTTCTTTTTAATTTTGTTTTTGAAATGTGCAAAGAAATACCTCATCGTAAATGCTTGACTGAGAAAAGAATTAATCGATTGGTTTATCTAGTTAAATAAGTAAAATTATTCTAAAAAATAGTCGCACGTTAAAAGCTTAATATACGGATGTGTTTAACAAAATCATAACCATTTACTAATGCTTTATATTTTTTAGGTGCAACCACGAATACATCGACCTTTATATGGAAATCGAAGATCCTGGAGTGGAATTGATCAGGACTCCGTTCGGTGGTCGTATATGTGGCAAAAACATTCCTGTTTCGCGCATATCTATGTACGAAACACTTGTCCTAGCTTTCTATACCGACAAAAGCAGAGTAACGCCAGATCTCTTCGGAGGCACTTACGAATTTATCGATGCAGGTCTGAAACAGATATTTACTGTTGAATGTGTGTTAAGTTTTTATCTTACATTTTATATGTTTTTTTATTAATCATTACTCGATTTCCATTAATCTGAGTATCAAAAAATTGTCTGTATTATATAACTAATGAGCTTTGCATTGTTTCATAAATCTCTAAATCATGGAGGGATGACAGTTTATATACAGAGAGAGTGTAAAAAGAAAAAATAACAGTAAGCTTACACTATCATCTGTGATAATTATGCGCGTAAATAATATAATAACTGACTATTATGAAAAAAATTTGCTTTTACTGGATTCTAATTCTAATTTGCACATCATTTTTGAAAATGTCTTTTGAATGATGGATGAGGATGAGTGGAAAAGTATAATATAATTGGGTTAGCGTAATTATAGCACAATTGGGCTTGGTTCGACTGAAATGTCTGAATGGCATATGCTCTCTTCGGATGCTAAGAAAATGAAATTAACAATAGTTGGCTAGTCACAATAATTTCCTTAATCATTCATATGCTGTTATGGTCATCGCTATATTACCGACTGAGTTCCTTGGCATAAAAAATTTCTCGGGAATCTGATACGAAAAAAATCGGTAATTGCATGCTGGATCTCTTTGTCATCAGATAATTATTTTATGGTTGAGAACCTTTTGAGAGCATTTTATGTTTGAGGTGACGTGAGAATCACGGGAGAGGTGATAATTAGTGAAAGATGCGGTCAAAAGAATATAATAATGAAGAACGATTTCATGCTACAATTCACTGAGTTTATCAATTTTTCATAGAACATGAACACAATCCTTTTCATCCAACGTAAGAAAAAACGATTTGTTAACTAATTTTGGATACCGGAGGAATAGTTAATGTTGCATTTTCTCAAGTTTAGGTCTATCATGATCCTTCGCGATTCTTTATTTCGGATGATGGACGTTGCGATGAAATACTCCACCAGTAGATCACCCAGCATAAAATCACAACATTTATGTGCGTCAAGAAATTGTTTGTTGACCCATTTGTTGACCGTTTATGATATGATTATCCTGCTATACCCATTTTTATCATATTTAACAATATAATGTGAAATTCCTTATTCCTTACCGTATTTTCTTCCAAAAGATCATATATACTTGCAGTTGTCATGTCTTTGACCATTGTAAACTCATATAGCACAAATATTCATATATTCACTGTTTTCACTTTGCCGATGGCATAGAGGTGCTGAGCATTGGTGGTTCGGTATATAGCAACCTTGTCTACAAAAGCACTAACTCTTTACTGTGAATCAACTTCGATCATGGTACCTTCAGAAATTCGTTTGGAACTGTACTGGTCGGCAGTTGGAGGGATTAGTTTCAAGTATTGTAGCACCAGCATGAAATTCCATATGCTTTCAGTATGTTGTGTACTCATCCGCTGCAACTGCGCTAAACGCAATATTAATGTTTTGTGGAATATGTCCTGCATATTATCCCAGTTTCAATTCATGTTCAATTCATGAAGCTAAACGTACTCATAGTTACGTGTTCTTTGTGACTCATTTTGATGAAATCTTATTCAACATCAACGTTACTCCTATTGACAGCTTTGGTATAGCCTGTGCTGTGGACTCCCAACGATGCTGTGAAATACCACATATAACTTTAGTGGATAAGCGCTTGTAGTCCAAAGTCTTTGTTTCTGTAGTACCCAAAAATAGACCTTCCATTAGCACTAATGCAGTAAAAAAGAGCTTATTATTAATATATTTTAATCGATGAGAAAAATTAACTTCACACATGTTTGCCAGCAAATGTGTGTGGTGACATTAACAAATATTAACTGTAAAACAGTAGTTTCTGAAGAAGTCAGTGTAGTCCATAAGAGGTTTGGGAAGCATTGGTGGACATCGTACACTGCTAGTCAAGATTAAAATTTTACTATTGATGATTAAAAATGATTAGGTACAGTTTGAACAAATTCATTATTTAGCGTAAATGACTATATTTGGCAGATGATTGATCTAAGTGTAAATTTAAAGTTTGTGGAAATTATAAAATGAGGAAAAAATTATCTCCACCCATTTTGTTGCAAAACTTCCTTTAATATGGTGTGTGTAAGGTCACCTCGGATACAAATGTAGATTTTCCATAATTATTTCATAAAATTTACCAAACTACTATTTAAGTTATCCTTTTTCTTCTCAAAGTCTTCTGAAAGTTAGTTTTTCAGAGATTCAAAGGACGCATTGAGACATTGCACTTCGGTTGAATAAGGCAATCGACATGTTGGCAGTCGGGTTCAAGTGTAATGACTAAGATGACCAGTCCATTTAAGTGATATCTCCTACTTTCAAACATTCGACACCAGAGCCGTTCTGCAGACGACCATAGTTATCCATTGGCGAAAGCTATGCCTAAAAATGCCCGTAGAAAGTCAGATATTGGTCAAGACATAATCCGCATATATTGTGATCTATTACAAAAACCTCAATCAAAGATATACAAGCCAATGTAGCTTTTTCGATGATTCCACATAGATCATAAAAGCGCTACCGTGGAAAAGGGATCTTTAATGTTATGGTGTATTGAGAAATACGGCAAAGAACACGAGGGCTATCTGCCTAAGGGAAGGGATTCCTTCGTGGAGTACTTTCTAAGGAAAACTGGCTCGTATACACGTTACACATGGGAAAAAACCCCGAAAACGCCCATGCAGCCAGCCCGTTTGCAGAATTCGAACCTCGGACCGAACTACCAGTGTTCAGCGATTTTACCGCTCGGCCGCTGGTGGGCCGGATCTTTAATGAATATCAACATATAAGAGCAAATTGCGCGTTCCTTACTTTGCATCGAAGTGAATTTAAAACCATAGCTAAGGCTATATCTCTCGACTTAAAAAGTATACGGATCCGCTCCTCTTGGCTTCACTCTACAATGAACATGCCTACGACATCTCCTTAAATGGGTCATTTTTGGGAAGATGAAGGAAGTGGGGAACAAACCAGTTGTTTTCTCACACGAAAAGACTAATCATTTGAATCAATTGTGTATTTAAAGAACGATTGATTCGGGTTCTTGTGGCAGCCTGAAGGTTTTAAAATCAAACTTCTTGAAAACAATTAATGTACTCGTCGAATCAGTAATGACAGAAAACGGTTTTCATATGCAGTTATTGCTCTTAGTCACTCTTGAACGGGCTTTCCACTAAATTCATTACATAGAAAGCATTTCAAAGTTCTTGATATAATACTTTAAAGGATATTTAGACTTTGGTCTACCTTTACTTGCGCTGATACCTCCTTCAAGTCTACCAATTAACCACCAATTTTGTCTTATATTTAATAGATTCCTTATCACTATTGAATAATGATACCTTTCCAGAAACTACAATAACATTAAACAACGTTATACGCCCGAATTCCAAAAGGTGCTCGTTGCGTAACGAGTTTCCAGTCACCTAATTTTCTTATGTAATGCACTAAGGTAAGTTCAAAAGTCCAATTTTGCATTCATCTGCAGATATTTAATAATAATAATTACATTATTGGACATTGTTTGAAAGCTTACAGGGAACGCATATTTTCGGAATATCATTTAGTTTTGACGATCAATGCATTTTAATGGCAAAGTTTCTGTAAGCGGAACTGCAAAAGCGATAATTTATGAGACTATCGATTCACGGGAAGGACATAAGGTAGAATGCTTGAATATTTCCCATTGAAAGAATCTTTATATTATTTTCCCTACACATCTTTTTCTGAGATTATATGTATACAACGTGCCTTTTTATAAGTGCTGATGGAACATAACTTTAAAAATTTAGAGACCATTTATAAATATTAATACCGCCAAAGATTTCCTCTTGCGGAAATCCTTATTTTTGTACAAAGAAATCTTTTTTGGCCTGGAATAAAAAAAACTTAATACTCTATCGAACGTGTAATGCAAAGCAACGATATTGTATTAAAGCAATATCTTTTATTCGTCAAGACCATATGTTATGTATTCCAGGTCATAAAATTTTTATGTCTGTTTTCTGTCCTGATCATTTGAGTTCCGGATCATAAAATATTTATGTCCTGTTTTCGCGGAAGGTAGAAGTACTTCTTATTTATTACGAGTGTTTGCTTGATTTATTTTTATTATTGATATTATATCGTTTGCTAAACATCATTTAGAAGAAATAAATAATTTATTTCACAATATAATTTTCCAAATCTTTCTTTAATCATCAAAACTTTCTTAGTTTTAATAATTATATGCGGAAGAACTATTTTCCAAAGAAAATACACAACTTGATGTTGCGTTGGGGAATAAATAATGGCGTTTGGTTTATTCTATAGCAAGAAGCTCGAGTTCGTGCTTACCGGAATAATCGGAAAGTTGATGTCGCAATTTAAACATGAACCTCTGCTAGGCTAGAAATTTCTGTCTAATTTTACTGTCTATGCAATATTAAGAGTTTTATTCTACTTAAAATAAGAAAATTAAAACTTTCTTCTAAAACAGTTTAACAAAATATATTATTGAAAGTTTTTTGTTTCGTTTTGTTTCTATTTTTGAAAAGTCCAGGATACCTAAGATTAGAAAATGACTTCTATTGCAAATGTCCATGCATTTAGATTAAAATGCAGTCTAATTCAGTTCGTAGTGGTATTTATCTAATGACGCAGAGTGGCTTACTACACAATTTAAACGATAACTTTCCGAAAAATTTACTTACGACTGAAAGGTTTTAATTTCTTTATTAATTAGCATTTCTGATGAAAATATCTAACGCTCTAAATCTTTACTTAGATACTGTTACTTAACCCTCTTACTGCGTACGTTTTTTATCAAAATATGTTCAAAAATTGCGTATTTTTATTACATATTTTAAATCTACATATATGCTAGAGTTAAAATATACAAAACTTTTTTTGCAAAAGAGTTTTTTTTTTTTTTTTTTTTTTTTTCCAATATAGAATTAGATCATTGAAAAAGGTTGTCAGAATACTGAAATTGAAGAATAATGATATAAAAGGAAAATTCTGAAAATTAATATTGGTTAAATTATGATTTATTTTTATAAAATACAAAGGTAAATCATATATACTAATGAAAATATTTGCATAATGTAATATTTTACATATAAATTTTGCACCACTGTCCAACATTTTCAATAGAAACTGAATTTTCAGATTCATCATTATCTGCAGAGGAATCCGAGAAATTCTCCTCAGTTTCGCTATAACTATCTTCAATATACTTGAAATCAGAATCAAAACTCAGTGTCGGAAATATCGTCAGGAATATAGGTTATATCACTCGCGAAACGCTTCCTGCCAGACATCTTTAAATTCTGAAAAGCGCGCGCAAAATGCTACATGACGTATTTGTATATTTGGCAGAAATGTGGACAACTAACACCATCTGTTAGTCCACATCTAAATAAACAATTAAACATCACAAAAATGCCGAAAGGAAACTTTGAACTAGAAAAGAGCGGGTTGCACACTTAAACAGACGGCAAAAATTCATCCTCGCGGAAATCCGCTTGTTGCGCAAATTTTGTTACTTCTACGTTGCCCGTGGAAATCGCAGGATGCGCAGCGAGAGGGTTAATATATTTTTATTCAGATTGATTCAGAATTTGTTGGCCTTAGTTTTGAGGTACTTGCATTTCAAACGGAAATTATTGATGATCTGGACGTATCGTTTAGCATTGCCCCAAATGATAATATAGGGCTACTATAAGTGTTCAGTAGATTTCAGTGCACTGTATTCCAAACAGCAGTAAATTCGCTGAACACTAGTAGCTCGGTACGGGGTTTAAATCATTCCAAACGGCTGGCGTATAAGTGTTTTCGTGTTTTCCCCGTATGTAATGCGTATACGAAAGTTTCACCTAGAAAGTCCTAGACGAAAGCATCCCACCCCTTAGGCATATATCCTTCTTATGCTTTACCGTAAATAAATAAACCAAATCAACGAATTCAGCATTCACTCAACTTTCGAAAGCTTGACCTCCAAGTCTATTGACGTTATTCCGTTTGCCTGCTTCTTTACGCTAAATTAAATATTGTTTCTTTACACGTTACATATTCCCTCACAGCTACATTTGGGTAGCTCAGAAATCGCATTCTGTGTCAATTACTATTATTATAGTATGCTACAAAAATATAGATAATCTCAACTACTATTTGAGCGAAAGTTATGCAGCTAAATGGAATATTAGACAGAATGAATCTGAACAAGTGTGGGGGGGGGGAACTTTAAGGGGCTGACAGAAAGCAGCTATACGAGCAGTATTCGTCAGATAATGTACGGTTGGATTGCCAACTGCGGGCCGCTAGATAGCATTGTATATAGTATAAAAAAGGTCGGTCCTTGCACTCAACGGCACATAAAGGCAAGAGCCTTATTTCATTCACTTCCTCATGTAACTTACCCATTAGCGGCAAAGTAAATAAGGTTATACTCCCGTGGTATACTCGTTATGGGACAAATGGGGTGTTAGTAAGAGCATGACGAAAGTCGCGCTGACACCAGCCTAAAAAAGCAAGTATCATTTGGCTCAGCCAACGGCACTTCCTACCGTGGATTGTCGAGACGATGGTTGGTTCACGAACCACGAAATTTCCAGGGCGATGGATTGGTCGAGGTCGTTCCATAGCTTGGCAACCAAGATCACCGGATCTCTAGTATTTGGACTAGACGTAGATCCTGTGGGGCCTTATCAAAATGTACTCATTTTGATAATGTACTATAACGCATGTCTCCTTGAAACGAACATGGATCGCCAGGTTCGCCGTTATGGCCAGCTATACTCGGGAAATGCCTGGTGTTTTCGCAAATGTATCGCGCAGGTGTGAAGCCTGCATTATAGCTGACTTTAGAGTAAGTTCGTTTAGCATGTACATCAATTGCATTCATGTTAACAAATTTTTTCTGAAGTATCTCTTCTCATTCTTCTGTTAATTCTTTAAGTGTGACAGTGGAAAACTACCTTATTTAACCTCTTTACCGTTTGCGTTACGACCAAACACACTGTGACGATCACCACAAGTTTTGCCTACTTGTCCAGCTTCATCCTGTAGAGAATTTGAAAAATAAAGGTTGGTCACCGATTTTTTTTTCATTTATGAAGTATATCATTTTGTAAACGGGACTCCTAAAATATAGTATTTTGAAATCCAATGATTTATTTATAGTAGTTCTATATCACATCGTATTTCATGAAACCAGGACAAAATAAATTAAGGCTTTAATCTTGATCTAATATCAAGGTTCACTTTGTTACATGTTTCCGGTGAAATAAACAATGGTATAAGTTTTAATGTATTATTCTTCAAAGATTAGCGTTTTTCCAGTAAATTAATAAATTTATTATTTTTATAGGTTTGGAAATATAAAAAGTGTATTTCCAAATTCTTAACCATTTTTCGTTTGCAGCTAATGTCACTTCTTTCAAAATCGTGTTTAACAAATGCATGTTATTCTTAAAATTTGTAAAATTATGAATTTGCTTTCAATATTAGTAAAAGATATTTGCAAAACCGCTTAAAATATGGATATAATAATAGCATATTTATTTCTTCTTCTAAAATAATATTTTTTTTATTTATTACACATAATACCTTACTTTTGAGCATAATGTGTAGACGCTTAATTAAAAGATTATTAGGCTTTTAGATGATCATGTTTATGAATATTTGACCAAACTTTATGGACTGCAGTGAACTGGGAACTTTGTTTTTAATGCAATTATGTTTTTCTTTTTCTTTAGTTTCTTATTCCTCTTTCGTGTTTCAAAAGTTGTACATTAAAATATTTATTGTAATAAGAAAAATGTTAAAAAAATGGATAATATTATTTAACCCATAGAAAACCAAAGCCTTCGCGAAACTGTATGTTTAAAATACCAAAACGCCCGAAATGCCTTTCGAGAATTGCAACAATTTCCTTCCCTTCCCATCTATTAACGCACAAAGTTCTGTGAGGATTTGAAATGCCCCGCGCAATCTAAAGATAAGAAACCACAAATAATTCCTTTTAGGACAAACAGTCTGCAATAAACTTATACAATGAATTTAGGGAAACTGCACCTGCTACTGCATGTCTCAGGGAAAGGAAAGAAAACAACGTCGCAATCTCAGCCGTTTCGGGTGACTGCGGCCGTTTGAATGAAAGATTGTCTCGAGCGTTTTGGCCTTCAAAGCGTTAAAAATTCTAGTTAATGATGGGTATGAGAAAATGCCTGTTAATCATAGATAACGATCAGTGCCCCCATTCATTTTGGACTGAACTGTGCATTATAGTTAAACAAGGAATTTGAGATTGTGTTTCTTTTTGCAGCGCAGTACGTCATGGGCACCCCTACTCCAAACACAGTATGCAGCTACAGAGTATACAGTGACAGGAAGAGAGAAGGTGATATGATGTCCCCTACCTACCCTGGTGTATATCCAAAGAATTTAAAATGCAACTACAACTTCTTCGGGAAGAGAGGACAGAGAGTCAGACTGGAGTTCATGGATTTTGATCTCCTCTACGGAGGTCCACAGTCAGTTCGCTTTATCTTTGACATAATATATGCCATCCTTGTTTTATAAACAAAAATATAATAAGTTTACTTAATTGTAAGCATTCCAATGTTTTGCTTATTACTGTAAGTAAGCACGTAAATTGATAAATTTCTGTTTAAGTAAAATCAAAACTCGCAATATATTTCTGCAAACTGTACTTGTACTAGAGACAGAATTTTCACGTAAAATTTCTTTAAAAATAGAATGAAGTAGCTAATATATTTTCTTTTTCTTGTAGCTGTCCTTTCGACTACGTTAAAATATACGATGGAGATACTGAAGAAGATCCTCTTATCCAAACATATTGTGGTCAACAGCGAAATTTAGTTGTGTTTTCATCTTCAGAAAATCTTTACGTCAAATTTGTTACACTGCAGCGAAATGCGGACACATCGAATCGAGGCTTTAAAGCTGCCTATGAATTCAGTGAGAGATTTGTTAGTTTAGGTAATGCATATATATTTCTTGAGTTAAAAATTATTTTGAGTTGTATTTTCACAACAACTAGTCTATATCAGAAATAATTCAATTTGACATTCTTTTACACTCGTATTCAGCATGAAATGTTTTGAATATATAGGATGGTCATAAAAAACTTCCCCGATGAATTAATCCTTAACGGTCTAGTCTCTCAACCAACTGACATGTAATTTTAGATGCTGTTATTTAAAGGTAAGCGCTCGAGATCGTGATAATTTAAATAAATAGATCTCTCATGGTTATGGTTGCAGTGACACAATTTCGAAATTTTCAAATTATAATACTATTTTTTTATAATATACATAAATTGATCAGCGCATTGAAAGGCCATAAATGGCGTTGGAACGATACACGTACGACGAAAATTGGCGGTGTAAAACATTTGCAAATAAGAGCATTGCAAAGGAACAATGACAACGGCAGAGAGGAGAGAGAAAAAACATTTATTAGAATTACAAGTCCTCATCCTATATAACGTTTCAAGACATAGTTATCTTCCCTAACTTTGCAGTTTGTTGCCACCGCAAACCCCGACTTTACTCAGATGGACTTCTGATTCCGGGGTTATTTGAAATCTAAGGTGTATACTTTAGATCCATGCGATCTGTATGATTGACATACGTCATAAAACCTGAAGATGCAATGATTTCTTTTGCGATGTTATGTTCGTCATCGTTATCAACAATTATCCGCAGGCAGTGCGGTATCGTATGCAAAGGTTCGCATGTCGAAAATTTATAATTCCACAAACAGTTTTTCCCCCACACTTTGTGCAGTCATTGGTTTTTTACAATGCTGTTCTTTGCAAATGTTTTACGACGGAAATTTTCATCATACTAGTATCGTTCCAACGCCATTTATGTTCTTTCAATGCACTGATCAATTTGTGCAGGGAGAAAAAAAAAAGGTTTCGTTCGAAAATTTTGAAATTACTTTAATCGTAATTGGGACAACTGTATTGTTTCACATCATCACAATCTCTAGCGCATACCTTCAAATAAAAATATCTAGAATTTCACTTTGATTGGTTGAGCGGACAGGCCACGGGGGGCTCCTATATTGGGGAAGTTTTTGCTTTATGACCATTCTGTATATCATAACAAGAAATGGATATTGCTCACGACTTCATGTGTGATCATAAGACGATTTCATGTGTGATTTTCAGTGTGAAGTGTAGTGGTGGCGACATCTATTGACGGTAAAAGTATCATGGTTTCCGTTGATCGTTGATCTAGTATCGAACTTTGAGTTTATAATTGATTACTTTAACAAATGTACTAAATGCATGCTCTAAAATATCTTCCTAAATATAATTCAGTACTTTTACATATACTTCTTCATAGTTATGTCAAAATACTCTTTTCAAATAAAAAAACTTGTATACAAATATTTTTCTTTTAACCAATATCTAGTATTTTCTCTTTTTTAATTCGAAACAATTTGTTTATTTGGAAAACATGATTTAAAAACATTATATAACATGTATGTATTTTTAATAATTATTGTGCAGAGAAAGTAATCTGTAAGTAAATAAAGAAAGTTATTAAAAACTTTTTGAAATCGGGACTTTGAAACTGTTATCTTTTAAACTTATAATTAACTTTTATAGAGATATGCGAATTTAATTTTCCAGGCAGAGATTCTACCAACTCTGAAATGCTACGAAATGTAAAATGACTAATAATTAATTTTCAGAAATTTAATTCTGTCTAAATATGAATAGTATTTATTTTGCAATATTTACTAAACAATTTCTTATAATGGAAATACCTTTGTAGAATTCTGTAAACTGTATAAATCTTGAATTTGAAAGCTACTCTGCGCTAATTTAAGTAGAACATATTTCCAAAGATATTCTCTCGCAAATGATAAAATTAAATATATCAAGACAAAAAGTGCTATACAAAAGACAAAAAGTACATAAACAATGGTTAGTAAAGTGAAAATTTATTGCTGTTTCATATTTATAAACATTGGCATTAAGTAAATATTCGGTTTCGTTTTCAAGAATTTCCCAGATATATTTCAAGCAATAAAGCAAGAATTTAGTTCCTCCCCTAAATATTAAAACACTTGTAGTTCTGTCCGAGATTCGAATCCCGCGAACGGGCTTGCTGCATGGATGCTTTCTTAGTTTTTCCCATGTGTAACGTGTATACGAGCCAGTTTCCCTTAGAAAATCCTCGACGAAAGCATCCATCACCTTAGGCAGAAAGCTCTTGAGGCCTTGACGTAATCAAATAAACCAAACCAAGAGCATTTTTTATGCAGATGAAAACATTTTCTAATGCCAACTTGTTCTTGATGCATTCATATATTAATACTGCATATGTTTACAGCGATTAGATAGAGATTCGATTAAGTGCTTTTGGTATTAAATTTTAAATTAAAAGTACTTGAAAAAAAAGTAAATTCAAAGAACGCTCTCCTAGTACTATTAAAAATGTGTCATAATTAAATACAAATAGTTTAGTTCCTTATTGCGATTACATTTGTGTTGCAACTTGTATTGGGAAATTTCTGTTTGGATTAAGTTATTTAGAATTTATAATGCTTTGGTGCTCAAAAATTAGAGCTGGAGCTCCGTTGTGTAGAACAAATCTCATGTGATATGCATGTAATTAAATGTAAAAGTTAAACATAAAGAACAGAACTAAAATGAAATATATATGTGAAAATTTTTGAACCTCAGATTAGCCTTCTAGTCGCGGATGAAGACGAAATTGTGAAGACAAACTTATTCATCGACAAAATTAAAAAATACTATGTAGGCATCCCGTTCTCCAGAAACCGAAGTGTGATGGAATGCTCGTTTTCAAGGTTACTATGCTACAATGTTTACTCTTGTGCAACGTCACTGACTTAGTCTGCTCAAGAACAGAAGATACAAAGAAGTAGCTTCATTTCTCCCACTTGTATAAGTAAGTAATGCCAGCACTGGTAACAGCGTAACCTTGCTAATTTTCAAAGATTTATCCAATTTGCCATTGTTGTGGGTATTAAAAAATCAATATTAACCTACATAAACAATGGTTAGTTGGTTAAAACAATAAGCAGCAAGTAAGAAGCTGAGTTATCCCTAAAATATTTTGTGACGACTTTAGAGAAAGTTTCACAAAAATTGTTTATTATTGCTCATGGCAACATCATTGAGTACGCACTTCTTTAAATCACGATTTTAAAAGAATTACCAGCTTTTACTCTCGGTTAAAATGTACCGAATGATAATAGCTAAATAACCTAAACTTAAACTGCCGCACAAACGACATTTCAGGACACATTCTCAAACCAGTTCTCCTGTACAACATCTGGGTTTTGAAAATGTTATCATATCTGAGTTCTCAATTCCCTATTTTTCTATACTTTATAAGAATGTGATGTCATTATAAAAACTACGGCCAAGAAAATTTCATATGCGTTGAATAATAAGTCATCGTTCAAACGGAATAGTATACTTCATCAGTTTACGCACGAAGAGGAAAGAGCGGTTGTAATATGAAATAATGGTTAATGTAGGTGTGAAGACAATCTGGGGAATGAGTTTGATGTATTCTTAAGAAAGCCTTGCTTTAGGATTGCTGTTAGCATAGCATTTATATCTGTGAACCACACTGTTGCCCGACATTTCATTAAAAAATTCCTCAAAATTGAAATTATTCTTTATTTGCAACATTTCTTGCATACGAATGTAATCTGGGATATGACTTCCAGATTTCCCAACTCTTTCTGAGAGTTCTTAGGAAATAAAATGTGTTATTTGAAGAATAATTATTATTTTAAAAATCATAAATAGTGTTTTATATCAAAAGATATATGTCTCGTAAAACACCATTCACAATCAAAATAGTACATCCATCAGAAGGTAATAAATTACTGAAGTAAAATTTTAATATTGAGCAGCGTATAAATGTCAATATTCTGAAAACGTAAACACAAATTATAATGTTTTCTGAATTACTAAATGCACTTTAGCAGCCCTTTGATTAAACTCTATTTTTATATTTTTGCTATTGTTACTTATAAATTTACTTACGTATTTTACTTTTTTTAAACTAGATTTCATCAGTAAAACCGACGGCGAACACATCCGTGGAACGCGTAAGTGCTATTTTAGAATACTAACTCCTAGCAACAACAAAATAATACTAGAAACGAGAAATTTTATATTGCTACTAACGTATTTTAGATTATTAATTCATGGATTATTAAATTTGTATTTGTTTCTGAAATGTATATACACTCTGCACAAAAAAATGGGACAGTTATTGGTACTGTATCCCCCTTTATACTGGGCCGATTCACGTTATTTAATTTGCTATCCTCAAGTCTGGAAAGTGCGACTCAGAATGTATATTAGATTTATATATAGTATTATTCTAACATAGATACTTTGGCACAAAATCAGACTTTTCCTGAAACGTATAGCAATTTTTGGTTTCATATTTGGATTCTATGACTCAAATTATGCCTAAATAATTTAAGTAGTAGTCTAAATTTTGCAAAACTGGGTGAGAAACTTACCGAGAAATTTAAAACTTTATCTTGGCGCTTTAAACTTTATCTTTTATGAGTTTGCGACAAGAATAAGTCGCTTGACGAAATTCTTAATTTATAGTAACCTATTTTCCTTTCCTTTTCTTTGAGTAGAAGCGGAATAAAAATATTCATCTTTCATTTTCTCAAATCATTTTACCAAAGTGTCAAGCCTATTTGGTGTTATTATCGTTTTCAATAAGTATGCAAAATTTCAAAACGCGGCTATACATAAATTCACGAAAATTTTAGAAAATTTTGAATAAAAAACTCTAATTTTTTATGCAGGGTGTGCGTAGAAATACATCTACTTTAAGGTGATGGTAAATGTTTTATAATTTATAATTCTAATTTTTTTTCGAAAAATTAACAAAAATTATTAAAAAATACAAATTTTAAAAATAAATCAGAAAATATTTGCGAATGGTTGAACTTAAATTTCGAACTGGTAAAGAGGGAATCAAGTACGTTTACTGAAGAAAGAGATATTAATAAATTTATAGGGAATACAATTAATACTGAAGAGCTAAAATTTTGAAACACAATGTTTTTTAAAACATTTCTCATGCAATTTTTACAAAACTTGGCATTTTAGCATTACGTGAATCGTAGAATCGAAATTTGTACAAAATCGGTATATCGTTGCCGATAAAGTCAAACATATATATTAAAGTTATATTGAAACCTACACATTGAAGAAAACATAAGTGATAAGCGACGGGGGACGTGGGCGCTGTTCCTTTAACACAGCGGTTAATTATGAACATATGTAACATAGAGAACATATGTAACATCAATGTACTTGAATAAAGAATACAAAATAAAATACCTTCATACTGAAGAAATAATAATTGATATGAATAAATCTGTGTGATCAATAATTTGCTTTCTTGTATTCTGGCGGGAAAACGGAAAAGAGAAGTGACAGTACGGATTCAAAATATAAAATGACTGGTTATGCAAATTAAAGGAATCTCAAAACTGCATCTAAAGGTTAATCGATGATTAATCCACGCTCACTGGCTGTGTTTCCTTTTTAAATCTAGAATAATTTACATTAATTACTTTTAAAAATTATAGAGAAACAGAAAGTAATGAACAGAAATATAATACAAATAACTTGTTTAATTAAATATATCTTGTAAAGTTTGTGAAACCTATAGGAAGAAATTTGCGTAACATATTTAAAAAAGGACGGAATTACCTCATAAATAATCATTATAATTTTTCAAATCAAACTAGGAAATAAATTAATACTTTTTCCTAGCAAAACAGCGCAATGTAATTTACATTAATTTTTATATTTAACAACGAATGTAGTTTTTAGTAATTACCGAAAATTTTCGCGTTTTTTATAGATCATATTAATTGTAAAAATAGTCATATACTTTGGTTCATTAACTTGCACTGCGATATAATTTTATAAATGAATCTAAAAAAACCTACCGGCAATGAAAAGATATTATAATGCATATTTTGACAGAATTATCTGTGAAATTTATTTTAATAACTTTCATTTTCTTTTCTTATGCTATATTTTTTAAGAAAACTGTAAAATTCTTATTTTAAATTGTTAATAATAAAAGTTTGATATATACTTTCACAGCTTTAAAAGATTTGCAATAAATGTAAATCTACTTTTACATATAGTAAAATTTACGTAATTGAAATAATATCTATGAAAGATAAATCTAACTGTCTGTATAAAGGATGATTTTAAGCTATATTACTCGGTACTCAATAATAAAATATCAGTGTATTGATTTTAAAATTTGTTTCTTTATTTTCTAGAATGTGATCAGAAAATTCTCAGTAAGCGTGGATCAAGCGGCATGGTTTTCTCCCCTAATTATCCTTACCCTTATCATCCTAATGTCGTATGTCGATATTATGTATACGGAATGCAAGATGCTCAAAGACTGGAGCGGGTCAGATTACAATTCGAAAAATTTGAAATTCCGTCAGTTAACGGAGTGTGAGTAACATTTCAAAGTCTTCTGTAATAATGTATCATATCAAATATGAATGTTTTAATGAAATTTCTAAAACATGGCTGTCCACAAACATATAGCGTTTGTTATTATAATTTTTAAATAATATTTTCGTCTAATTAGTAGAATTATTCTAAATAGTTATGAGTACTTTTTCATTCTTGTATGGATAACCTTGATGATACTATTATATAATAAATATATGACGAAATGCATAAAAAGTCAAATATATTTATATTTTAAATGAAGATCAAGGGCGAATGACTTGAAAATGTTTGGCAAAATATCACCAAATTTCTAATCTGCTGGTAGTTTTTTACATCTCGTCTTCTTAAGTAATTGAGATAAGGAATTTTCTGCCTTTCCACTATATCCCTTCTCTCATCAAAGAATATCAAATGTGAGGTTCAGTTCATCAGTCAGTTTCGAATGACTTTTGCTTCGTATTTGGCTTAAGTTTTCTAATTCTACGTATTTTCTAATTGTTCATTAACTTCAATTAATTCATTTTCGATGAGTATTTCCTTGTACTTTTGTGATAATATCGGGTACTTTTAATCATCTTCTTTCTGTATTTCTTGATAATATCGCACATATTTTTGATTATTTTACGTATTGTCTTATTTTCGAAGTTTCCTGAACCATTCTATAATATATGCTTAGTTTTAAAAAATAAATAAAAGATCTGTTTCTTATTTCATTAAGAAAATATTTGTTTCATTTTCAGGTATTTCTTTGATTTTTGTATCGAACTCTTAAAATAACTCAAATTGTACTTCTAAGGCTATTATAAGATTTAATAAATATCTGCAAGCTTTCAGATTTTATGTTATGCCCAAAGGAACAAATCTACACACACATACCGGCATTCAGAGCATTTGAGCTAACTCCCCTTTGGCCCAAAACTGTTTAAAAACAGCACATCTTTAAAATTTCCGATGTCGCGCTGGAGATAAAAATGTTTTATTCCGCACAGTGTTGCCAAAGCTTGCTGAGAAATCGTTGAGATTTTGAATCAAAAATTCGTTAAAGGTTTACAAAATATGAAATGTATAATAAAACAAATTCAAAATTCGGGCTTTCAAGTGCCCATATTCAGTTGGAGGACTACGATATTCAAAATTTGATGTATCTAGGTACCGTTGTTTTTTCATAATGCGAGAAACGTACATACGTGCATGCAAATTCTTCAATATTTAATTTCTTTAAATATATTACGGGGAGGTAATATTTGGGAGCAAGAGCTTAAAAACTGTTTCAACGCTTTTAGTGATTCAACGCAAAATGCCATTTCGATACTAATAGCCCTTCTGGACAAACCCCCGTTGGCCTAATAAGAAAGATATTAAAAATGCTCATGGCTGTAGATTTTGTTTTAAATTCGCAAAAGGAACCTTTTATGACATAAAGTAAATGAACATAAATCTTAGTGGAGCTTTGTTTAATTTTTTCACTGTATGCGTAACTTTGCGTTAATAGAGAAAATGCGTATTTATGCTAAATTAATTAGACTATCAATGATTAAATATTTGTTAACAATGTAACGCATTCTATAATTCTTTGAAGTTTACAAACATTCTTTATGAAAATTCTTATTTAGAGACGAATTTTGATATATTAATTCTACGAAATAATAAAATTTATCTAATTCAATTTTTTATAATGTTATTTAGTACAGTAAATAAACAAATAAATAAAAATATTTTGTTTTAACCTGCATGTTGAGCCATTTCTTTTGTACTTCTGTAGCTGCACAGACGGATTTCTGCGTATTTACCTTCAAGGTCAAGAGGAACGATACGCGTTGGACGAATTTGATCACAATCTGTGTGGGCAAAATCTTCCTCCTGCTTTGAAATCTGAAGGTCCACGTCTAGTAATGATATTCAAGAGCGGTTCCACTCAAGGACAAGGATTTAAAGCCCGGTATTATTTCGAAGCAGGTAAAAATAATGACTAATTCTTCTTTTAAATTCAAAATCAGGGACATCTTCTCAGAGCATACCTATGAATTTAGAACTGTAAAAAATTACTTTTTTTAGTTCATTCATATAGTAAAAACTTTATTAATTGCTTTAAATACACCGTTTTCCAACGCGTCATCGATTTTATCTGGTATCAATAATTCAAAACAGAACTCGTTGCACGTTGTTTTGTCTCATCTAGTTCTTCTTCCGCATGCTATCCATATAGTATACCAGCATCGATAATGATATAATGCAGGAATTCCCAACCGGTGGTATGCAAGAGAAAATTTGGTGGTACGCAAAGAAACAAAGTATTTTTAACAAAGTATTTTTAACTTTAAAGTAACTAACTCTATTAAATTTAGAAATCTCTTAAAGAAAGAGAACAATGATATAATTTTTTTGTGATCGAACTCTAACTGAATATTTCAAAAATAAAGCACTTGCTAACTTTAGGGTGAACTGAAAAAATAATAATTTAGATGCACTTCAAATAAAGCTATTAATTGTTTACCCAATTTTTGCACAACCTATTTGTGTAAACAAGGATTCCATGTTATATTAAAAAAAATAATAAGTGCATATTTAATACAAATCGTCAACAGGTTATGCAAATGGCAATATACTTTTAATATACATATTTTTAATATTTCTATTCAGAAATTGAAAAATAATCATTGTGAAAATGTAGTGGTAGTACTAAAGTTTTTCAATTTTTGCTTAGATGGTTCTCGTTAGTCAAAAGGTTGAGAACCGCTGATTTATAATGTATTTTAAGAAAAGCAGAGGGAAAACTTTCTTCCTCCTTTTCTCCCACAGTATTGAGATGATAACCAGTTTTTGTCTGTCTGCATGCATTAGCACTCAACAACGCAGAGACGAGTGTTCGTTGTTTAGCACTGAATTAAGAACTATTTATTATTATGTTTTAAGCATTTGTATTACGCATAGGCTAGCTTTCTATTTCGAAGTCTGCATTTAAGTTTAAATTTCTTCATTTAAAATTGGCTTATTTTAAAGACGTTTATTCTTATTTTGAGGCTTCTTTCAAACTTCCGCATGAGGATATATTATACCTGTAATATTAACATGAAGCATCGTCCGTCAGAAATCTGAATCACAGATAAAAATGAAACATTGGGCTTTTAAAAGACTTAATTCGATCAATATTTCTATTTTCGTCATGCTCTGAAAAAAGAAAAATTACTTAAAATGATTAAATTTTAGTGGACATGTGCTGTAAATATAAAGGTCAAAATGACAGACATATTGAACTATGTCTACATACAAGAATTAAATGTGTCGGTAAACAAAATGTGAAATCAGTTACGTGTAGTGTGAAACTTGTAATATGTTCAAGAAAATAAGAGAAAAGCTTGATTCTAATAATAAGCACGAGTCTGCGAACTTTCTTGAACGCAGAGAAATTTCCTTTTTCTAATTCCAGTTTATCCGAAATTTTATTAATTGTATCTAATTCTAGTCCTACGAACTGAACTGAATGCTCTCCATTTTTTCCTTGATACTCAAAATAAACTTGCACGTAAATTTATGACATGTGCGCAAATAACATTAGTATTCGTAACATAACGGAATCTTAAAAGATTGAACCGCCTATTTCAACAATATCAGAACTAACTGTACCAAAGTTCAACATTTATCTACTACTGAGATGAATTAATGATTGATTAACATAATTTATTTACTGATTATACTTGAAAATATGTCGTAGTGCGATACACATCAATAAACCAAAACTGAGTGACGAATCTAGGATATAAATAGTTCTTAAACTTTACGTGAAAAATTTTCCATTTCAGTATTTCAGATCTTACATCAGATGAATTTAAAATTTTTATTGTGTGCATTTCAATATTTTCCGTACTGTGAAATATTTAGCATTATGTTAATACGCAAATAGTACAGCAGACTTTCAAATAGATGAAATTAAAGCTTACATTTATTTATTTATTTATTTTTTTTTTAACTCTTTCGCATCGAAATCGCCCGTAGCGCCCATTCATTCAGGCAACGGCAAACCGCCCCAACGCCTCGTTTATTTTCTACCTAGTTCTTTCCCCTCCACGTTAGTGTATGACTCATTGGTTTCGCGAGTTGTTAAAAGACATGTCAGTCATTCTTTTGAAGCAAATAAAGCAGAAAATACGGAACGCTATTGACGTTCGCAGGTGCAATCCGGCCCCTAAGGTGAAACTGCACACAGTGGATGAATGGATGAAACCGCAGAAGGGGGAAAGGAAAGCTATTCCAAGACAAATTCGTAAATACGGGCGTTTTCGATGTTTGTTGAAAACAGATTTGGTTTTCTCTCGATGCGAAAGAGTTAATTTGACGTTCAGCATCATGACTTCTATGAAAACTAAGGATGCCGTTGAAAGATAATGCCACTTGATGTTTGTAGTAAGCTTCGTGCGTAAACAACCCTGTGAAATAGATACACACTGTCGACTTTCCTTTAGGTGTCTAAAACTACTGAAGTTTAAGGCCACAAGTTAGCATGAGGCTTCAGTTTACGATAAAATGGTATCATAGCAAGTTCTTACTTACTGCTGGCTCTGCTTTTAAGAACAGCTGATTTTAAATATAAGATTTTATTTTCCCTATCTTTAGTTTCTAGGCAATAAATTCTTAAACTAGTAGGCTTACAATAAATGGTTACTTTAAATTGTTTTTCAGGTATTTAATTAAAATTGCATATAAAGATCAGACTGACATTTCCTTTTTAATGTATTATTTTATTATTTCTCAAATTTTTAATGTTAAATTTTTTTAAATTTTATTTGTAAACTGTTCGAACAGAAATATTATTGTGTAATATGATCATTTCAAATTGTTCGTATTTTACCAGAAGTTTATTTTTCTTTCTTTCTTTTTTTTTTTTTTTTTTAATTTTGTTTACTCTCCTCCTCGCACATATACACTGAAGAAATGAACATATTGATACATATCGTTATCAGATAACGCTATGCATATATTTTGGTTTAGCATTATCTAACTCATTTGTATCTTGTCAGAAATATCGTAGAATTTCATTACTACTTTTCGAATTAAAACATTGCTTAACCATAATTTAATTAAATAATGAAGGAAATGTAAAGATTCGTTAGTACTGCCAATTTACCATAGATTTACCATATATATACTCTTCTACGCAAACTGCGTTTAAAAACAGTATTCATTTTATAAGGTATTTCTCTCGCTTTCCTAGCGTGCCTTCGTGGTGTAGTGATCAAGCACATTGAGCCGTATTTTAGAGGTCCGTGGTTCGATTCCCGGCGAGGGCGATTGCTAATTTTTCATCTCTCTGGCTTCCAAAAATTGTAATGTCTCTACAATGGCGCCCCGAAATAGAAATGGCGAAGGATGTTGGATGAGGATTCTCCTCACCCAGGATTTAGCGATTGGATTCCCTAAAAACCCCACTCGTCCTTTAAAAGGAGGAGTATATAAGGTGTTTCTCCCGCTTTCCTAGCGTGCCTTCGTGGCGTAGTGGTTCTGCACGCTGGGCCGCTATTCCAGATGTCCGTGGTTCGATTCCCGGCGAAGGCGATTGCTGTTTTTCATTTCTCTGGCTTTTCCAGTTAACCTAATGTCTCTGGAACGTAGTGACACTTTGCAGACTTACTTCTCTCAACAGAACAACAGAAGATACGGGACAACCATTCCATTCCTAACACACCAGACGACATTCCCTTCGACTCAGCTGAAATACAGCAAATCTTCCGTTTTCTTCCCATAAAAAAGGCTCCGGGACCAGACGGTCTAGACTATGCTATAATAAAGGTGGCTTACACATCCCGCCTACCTTCTTCGAGAAATATTTCAGCAAGCTCTTAAAATACCAGATCTTCCCAATGCTTTCAAAAAAGGAGAAGTGGTCTTGTTCCTGAAGAAGCAGAGATCCCCAGATGACCCAAGCTCGTTTCGGCCAATTGCCTACTTTCGTTTGGGAAAAATTTATGAAAAATTACTGGTAAACAGACTTTAAATTCCATCTCGAGCAGACCAACTTCCTCAGCCCACGGCAATACGGGTTCCGAACTGGCTTGTCAACCACGCCATGCCCTGAGTCATCTTAAAGATAGCATAGAACAAAATAGAGGCAGAAATCTTCACACGGCATTCATATCCCTGGACCTGCAAAGCGCCTTTGACACCCTCTGGTGGCCTGCTATAAAGCAAGCACTTAGAGAGGCACAATGTCCCAAAAACATCTTTAACATCATCACGGACTATCTACATGCACGTAGCCTCATAGTAGCCAAAAAACAACAATGGCCTCACTATCAAGCGGCAGGAAAGAGGGTGTCCACAAGGCTCTTGCGCCGGTCCGTGCTCTGGATAATCACCTTTAACTCCATACTACAACATGAATGGCCTTTGCACACAGATATTATAGCATACGCCGACGATGTAGCCTTCTGGTGTCTGGCCGCACAAGAGATGAACTGGAACGGAAATGCCACAGAAACCTGCTCGATATTCACGGACCTATGCAATAAACTTAAGTTAACCATCTCTCGGCAAAAGTCCGCACAGCCATCGTAATTCCACGTCCTGGCACAAATCCCACAAGACGTCCATGTATAAAGCTACTGGGCAAGAACTTAAAAATAACGAAGACGATTAAATATCTAGGAGTCACTTGGGATCAAAGACTCACCTGGTTACCGCACCTCCAAGAAATACGTACAAAAACATCGACCATCGCAAGGAAAGCCAGGCAATTTCAAGGGAGAAATTGGGGACAAAACCCCCATATCAGGAAACTATTATATCTGACAGTGGCAGAGAGAATAATTCTCTACGCAGCAGTCATATGGGCGCAACCAATGAACAGCCGAAAGACCAAGCTACTGACCACAATTCAACGGCCGTTTGCATTAAACATATGCGGAGGTTATCGCACAACAGCGTCCAGCGCCGCCACGATACTTGCAGGCCTGCTGCCATTA